CAGCCCCAAAACAATAGACAAAGCTCTCCAAATCCAACCCCAAAACAGTAAATAAAACTCTCCAACTCCAGCCCCAAAACAGTAAATAGAGCTATCAAAATCAGCCCACAAAAACAGTAAATAAAGCTATCAAAATCAACCCAAAAAAACAGTGAATAAAGCTATCAAAATCAGCCCCGAAGCAGTGTCAAAATGGTGCCCAAACGGTGTCAAAACCATGTCAAAATTAGCCCACAAAATGTCTCAAACAACACTTAATTATGTTCCAAATATCATGTTAGCCCATACAACACCTACATTTTTAAACAACACCCCAAACAGCTCTCACAACAATCCAGAAATCTCACAACACTCCAGAAACTCTCACAGCATTTTTAACACCTCCAAACAGTAATTCGCAGCACTTATAAGTTACCTACAGCAGCCCAAACCACAATGTCAGCACCCAAACAGCTCTCACCGCTCTCCAAAAGATCTCATAGCACTATAAAAGCTCTCACAGCATTTTTAACACCTCCAAACCATAATTCGCAGCACTCGTAAGCTAAATACAGCACTTAATTAATTCACAAAATATATTTTTTAGAAGTTCCAAAAATCAGTAATTAAATGGAGCGCAAAATCTGCCTTTCAAGACTCCAAAAAGGTACATAAACTGATTCAAAATAGTGTGCAAATCAGCATCAAAGTAGTGCATAAAACCCTCAAAATTAGCTGGTAAACCAGCCCCAAAACGACCCTATGCCGCACTAAAAAACTGCACTCAAACCGTCTCCAAATCAGCTCTTTTAAAAGCTCCAAACAACATTTTCAAATCCCTAGAACATAAAAAAACGAAGAGCCAAAACAGTTCCAAAACCGTGTTCAAAACCACCATAAAACGATGTCGTTGTGCATGTAAATTCCCCTAAACTTTTGGATGAAATATTTAAAACTTTTTCTTTTCATTCTTTTCTGGAGCGGTGATATTCAAATATAACAAAAAAAATGATCCATATAACTAAAAAGAATAAATATGCTAACTCTAGCAAATTGATAATGGAAACCAGTAATGTCAACCACATCAAAGAAGACTCTTCGTGTCAGCTTTACTATCACAGGTTAAATGCATTAAGGCTCACTTCCAGTTGCCAAACAAAAGTTGAAGTATGAATTCATCAAAAATAACATGTTCACAAATATTGAATCATCCTAACCAGCAAACTGATCAAAAAAATGAAATGATAGGAGTTTTAAAGCATGAGAAAAATCTTTGTACACCAGCCACACAATTGTAAAAAAAAAATTTAAACAGAGCAATTCATATCTTGACATTGTCTAAACAATATGACATAATCAAATTGAACTAGGTTTCGTCCAATGCAAGGCACAATTAGTTTTGGAGAAATAATAACAAACAATTTAAGGTGTGGAAGCATAATTCTCTCTAACCATGCAATTCATTTTTTTTTCCAGAAAACAACAGGAAAATTAGAGTATTATCTAATGCAAATAAATGTTCAGGTATTAAGAACAGAAAAAGACATCATTAAAATTACCTCCAGTGCCAGGCCCGACCCACATGAAATATGCAAAGGAGAAACTGCGCGTGGGAGTGTGGCAGACGATATACGAGAGCTGAACAGTTTCGTGCAGAGGAGAGGCGAACGGGGTTGTTCGGTCGAGCGAGGAAGGAGACGGGATCAAACGAGAGGAAGCCGAGCAGGAGACACGAGCCGAGCGGGAGGAGGGAGTCGGGATCGAGAGAGGAAGAGGGAGATAGGATCGGTCGCAAGGAAGAAGGGGATGGGTTCGTTCGCGAGGAAGAGGGAGTTGGTCTCGTTCGCGAGGAAGAGTAAGGAGTGAACGAAACGAGTTTTTTTTTTTTTTTTTTCCGGTGCAGAGGGGAAGAAGAGGGGAGCTCGCGAGAGGGGGAGGTGAGACAGGCAAGCGCGTAGAGCGGGAAGCAGGGCTTTGGTCGCAGGGAGGAGAAGATGAATGCTGGCAGAATTTCAGTGGAGTCGCCAGAGAGGGAGCTAGTTGGGGATTGTGTCGAATGAATCCTTCTGTCGAGGCCAATTAGTATAGTTGAATATTCGAGCGAGCCCTTACGTGAAAGTTTTAGTGTGGAATTGAATACCTTCCTTGAGCAGCGGAGACTTAATTGGAAAAGAATTAATCTTTAATTATATCCAATTATTGTGGGATTAAATGATATATTTGAAATTTTAAATTTTAAATTTTAAATTCGTGAGCTAAAATGATTAGTCTGTGCTTAGCCCATATCCAGCCCAAGTCAAACTCGAGTTGAACCTAGGTTGAGCCCGGGCCCACACCTGCTAATTAAAAAAAACGTGCATCGACTTTTGTGTGATCTACTTGTGCGCGGAATTATAGTGATATGGGTGTCCTTTCTGACTAAAGTCGACGTTCCGGGCGCGCCAGCGTGATCTGTTTCGTCATCCGGGGTCATCCGAACAAATTTGTCGACGGTCGAGCCAAAAATGTGTCAACTTCGTACGTGGTGTAGCGAGTGCATGGCTGAGTCACGGAGGGTTCACCTAAAGCCGTCTGATCTTGTATGAACTCATTTTCGGGCCCCCTACGTGTTGGTCCTTAGCCCTTGCAACTAGAAGTTGAATGCTTGGAACCCACTCATGCGAGTTCTTCATGCGAGTTCTTCACAAAAATAAGTCAAGATGTGGTTTGAAGTTCTACGAGATGTGGGCTCTATTACTAGTCTGCTAAGATGGTCAACAAGAGAGTCCTAAGGCTAGATTTTGGGTTTTGGGAGTAGGAAACTAAAACCTCACTAAAAATGAGGTCAACAGGGGCGTGGAGCGGTAGGTCCAACGGTACAAAATTTGTCACCTAGCCAAGGCCCGAGGACAAAGCATGGGTCTATACACCCCATTCAGGCCTCAAGGTCTCGATGTCGCCCACCACCCAACTAGTTTTAGTTACTATTTCTCCTTAAGCTGCAGCATCACCGCTTCGACCTCAACTCTAGTTGAGCTCGTGTTGAGTCTTTATTATTCCTAATTCCAAGTGTCACTGATTATAACCTATATCTGCTCTTAATAATAATATTTGATTTTCCTATTGTAGTTTGGGTTTAAGTCAGGTATTAGGTTAAGAATCTAGAATGCAAGTGTTGCAACAATACTAGACCTAGAAATTTGATAAGAAGCAAAAATAGATGTCTTGCAGTGCCACTAGAGATGGCCAGAATCCTCTTAAGATAAAGTCCCATCAAGAAAAAGTGCAAAAGATGGAAGTGCCAACAATCATGATAAAGCAGTCACCATTCTGAAATGAAGAGGAAACCCCCTTTAGCAATTAGCCAGTCACCATTCTGAAAGATGAGTATACTGATTTCAATGACAACAACAAAAAAGCTTTGCCTCTAGAACCACGATGACTACAACCACCACAAACACTTGTAGCAAGGAAATATTGGACAAACATTGGCTAAGAAGGCTAGAGGTAAGTGAATTAAAAAACTCGAGACAAGATAATGTTAATGTTGATACTGGTGAAGCAGGGCCATCATCTGAGATCGAGCACATTGAAGGGAAGCATGAAGCTCCAAAAGATATTTGACAAGAACAAATTTCTAATCAAAACTTTTCAAGAGAGTTGGATCGTTAATGAAGGCTTGTATCGAAGAAATTCATCAAATTTCTCTCATAAGGTATAGTGTAACATTCCTGAAGAGGCTAACCATGTTGTTGAAGAAAAAAGATTTTAAAGGTTAGTGTTTAGACATTAGAAACATTATTTTCCAAGAAATACGGGTAACAAGAAAGTCACAAATTTTCTTCGCCGTGTCTTGAAACATGATCAATGCAATGAAAAATTGAAGAATATTGAATAGCCAAGTAAGAATACCATCATCACCAAATGCCTTCCATTTAGATATAGTGTTTGTGCCTTCGGGTGTGAGAAGAGAAGCATCCAAGTGTTGAAATTTTCCATCAGGCCCAACAAGGAACCAGAAAAACCTCAACCACAACAGATAGTAGATATCATTAAATTTCGTATTGATACCGATGGTGGAGAGTTTTGGCTCAAGAAGAGATGGAGTGGCCATAGCATTATAATAAGAGATGTGCAAAGAATCTTAATAGAAATCAGATCGTAGCAGTGAGAAAGGATAGGGAAGAGCAAACACTAAGTTGCGAGTCAGAAAACTGAGTAGCACGCAGAACAAGTAAGAAAACTGAGTAGCAAACATAATGAGCAAGGGTTGAATAGAAAGAGAGGGAAGGAGAGGAGTATGAGACTGGACAAAACTTGAGGTTGTATTAACCTTGTTTTGCCAGGTTGAATGAGGAGAAATGTTAGATATCATTTATTAGTAGAAAAGGGTAGCTTGTATATCGACAAATAGGATGACTAATGATAGGCAAGAAATAAAACAAAAAATATCTTTAATTAAGAGAATAAAATCATAAACAAAGAATGATTAAAGATTTCCTATAATTCTATATTCAAACAAATATTCTCCAACAGACGAAAACAATCTAAAAAATATGGCATAAGTATGCATTCAAGTGCTTAAAAAAGTATAAGTTAAAGCATATTAAGCCAGAGGATTATTCTATGCTATTGAAGGTTTTCAATGCTGAAACTGTTCTGAAAATTAACAATAACAAGGTAAGGGGCCATTTGGGCTCACTTTTGTTTTTCGTTTTTTTGTTTTTTGTTGTTTTTACTCTTATTTTGTTTTGTTTATATTTTGATTTGAAATAAAAGATATTTGATTGCAATGATTGTTTTTAACAACACTCATTTTGAGTGCTTTTAAAAACGAGTTGATTTAATTTAAAAAAAAAAGAAAAAATACACTAAACAAATATATTTAAAAAAAATAAAAGAAAAATAAAAAATAAAAACAAAAAAACAAATTGATGCCAAATGGGCCCCTGTCTTCTAAGCATAGCAAAAAAAAAAGAAAAATCATCTCATTTTTACAATGAAGAGATAATTTAAAACATGCAAGAAAATAAAAATAATACCTTGATGGTAGCTAAACCTTTGGAGAGTTTTGCAATCCTTTCAAAAAGTTTCCTTGCTTGATAAGAATTATTTGTATCAGCCAAATCTTTCTTTATTTGAGAGATTCTTGCCTGAATCTCAGGCCTCATTATTGGATCTGCAACAATAGTAGTCGAATTGGCAGTTATGGTTACCTTTTGTGCAATACCAAGCTGGTCGGAATTGACGCCATCAAGAGCCAATCCCAAATCTTGAGCAAGAAAATCTGCACCTGTTTTCAGCAATTCAGTGTCAGGGCTAAAGGAGTATAAAATGAAATAAGATTTAGTGAGGGAGGCAACTCCCACAGATCTAAGACAACTAAATTGTGCGAAAGATTAATGTTATAAAAAAAAGCTACACCATTCTTGCAATCACCAACAACAACCATCTATATACTATCTAGTAAAGGAATAGAAAGCTTCATTTTGAAATGTTGTTCTCTCTTATCTTTTAGAATTAAGAAATTCAAAAAGTGAGAAAGTAACTCATCTAAGGAGCATAGTGGGCGTGCAAATTGTACTGGGTGTGCTACTCTTCTCAAGCTTCTTCTCACACAGAGTGGCTCTGTCCAGCTCCTGACTAAACTGCTCCACTCCCTGAGGAGTGGGAGTGGAGTTCCAACTGTGGGTGGTTGTCTGACTAGAAGTGGTTGTTTATTTTGCTTATGTTTTTTGTCTACTTTCAGTGCTAAAATTTGCACGTCCCTCGCTGTCTAATAGGGTTGCAATTGAACCACATAACTGGTAACGAGCTTCAGGCCTCCCAAATATCTGGTTATGATGTGCTTCTCTATCTTCTTCGACTCACACTTCAACTTAAGCTACATAAATTCTATCGTGTAATCCTCCACTGAAATCTCCTTCAGCTGCAGGTGGTAAAACTTGAAGAAAATATCCTAGCGATAATGTGGGGATAGTTACTGTCGATGCAACTCCCATTTCATCTTCTACAATAAGTGATTTTGTCATATCCTTCTCTCTGCCCCTACTTCTGCAGGTTCTCCCGCCACAAAGAAGCATTCTTCTTCAGCGGCAAGTTTCACACATCTGTCATTGAGCACCACCTTGTATTCAAAAATCTGCTCAACAATCTACATCCACTCGAGGAAATCATCTAGATCCATTATTCACTTGAAATCTGGTAGGTCCACCTTCATTCTCAGATCTTTGTATCCTTCCATTGGGATGTCGCCTATATATCTTCTTACATGCATCTCATCTTTATATCTTCCAGCATACATTTCATCTTTATATCTTCCAACCGACACTGTATCTAGATATCTTCCAATAGACACCCCATCTAGATATCTTCAAACAGGAATCTCATCTCTAAATCTTCCAACGTGTAGTACAGCTCTACGCTTCCGCTAATATTGTACACCAAAGTGTTGTGGCGTGTCTTCTTCTCCACTGAACACATCACCATAGAAGGGATTCAGGTGTATTTTTTGCTCTCCTTCACGGATTTCGCTATTACGGTTGACGGTGATCTGACCCTGGATTCTTTCTTCAATGGCATCGAGCCAATGTAGTACTTAGTTGAGTAGCCGTTGTACGTCCTTCATTGTAAATTCCTGATGAGATTCTGGCAATTGTTTCCTCAAAGTGTGGTTAGGCTTTCATATGTAGGTAGGTGGAACGAGGTGTGTAGGGTGGAGGGAAATAATTTTTTTTTTTTTTTGGGGAGGTGATGGGGGGGAAGCTGGAAACCCTATCATATGACTAGAGTCAACTTGGCTACAATACTAAATGATACTAGACTTAAACCAAATGATAATGAAAATGCAACTTTTATTACCGAAATCAAATAAGATTTACAAACAAAAACACTAAAAACTAGAAAACAACAAAAGATACGACAAACTAATTAGGGCTTAGGTCAACGATGGTGTTGTTGCAGTTTAAGAAGAAAAAACATGCATGCAAGTGGAGGAATGGTTAGAAGGTAGCAAGGGACAACTACGGTTGGTTGTCCGATGGTAGGAAAGTGGGCAGCAACAGCGTACAGTGAGGTGAATGCAGCATGGATGTGGTGGCAAGGCGTTGGAAGGGTCGGGTAGGCTCACGGGAGCAAGGAGAGGAGTTATGGGGCTAGGACATCATCGTCAGTGTTATGAAAAAACGACGGCAATAAAGTGAAAAAACCAAATTGAAAAATTGCAAACCAGAAAATAACACATAGATTAACGAGATTAACGTGATTCGGCGTGATTCGGCTAATTTACCTACGTCCACGGAACTGCAGAGGATTTTATTACTTCGAGAAATTACACCGTCGAATGCCGCAAGTTTACAAAAAAATATTTTTTCTCTTCCTTCCTCTCTCTCTCTTACTCTCTCTCTCTTACTTACTCTCTCTTAACTCTACACCGCAAGCTTCTCTTGTAAGCTTTGTCGAGCCAAGCTTAAGTTGCGGAGGGGTTAACGACGGCAATAAAGTGAAAAAATCAAATTGAAAAATTGCAAACCATAAAATAACACACAGATTAACGTGATTCGGCTAATTTACCTACGTCCACGGAACTGCAGAGGATTCTATTACTTCGAGAAATTACACCGTCGAATGCCGCAAGTTTACAAAAAAACATTTTTTCTCTCCCTTCCTCTCTCTCTCTTCCTTACTCTCTCTTAGCTCTACACCGCAAGCTTCTCTTGTAAGCTTTGTCGAGCCAAGCTTAAGTTGCGGAGGGGTAAAGAGGGCTTGGCATAGCACTTATGACAGGCTAAAAGAGACTATTTAAAGAAAGCAGGAGAGAAGTGGGTGGAGAGAGATAGGTGAGGCGCGGTAAGTGAGGTGGGTAAGTCACAGGCTCCACTTAACAATTCTCCCACTTGAAGACTGAGACACTGACTGCACCACCTATTTGCTGCATCATCTGCTGGCAGTAGCGACATTTTTCTCAATCATGATATCCTCCACTTTTGCAACTCATGGCTCATGTCTTCACGCTGGAAGATCAACTAAAGTCGAGCATAACTTGAGGTTTTCAAGAGTAGCACCCTTAGTCGACATATCAGCGTCAACATAGTCTTATACCTCCGAGCTCTTTCCTAGGTTACTCATGTATCTGCTTACAACTCATTGCATGGGCAATATCCTGCCTCAGCTGAAAGCCCCTTTCAACAAGTCCAGTCTTGTACCTCTTACTGTCATCAAGTGCAATATTCACCCGGTACACCCACTTGTTGTGCAATGTCTTCTTCCCTTTTGGAAGTTCTATCAGCTCCCAAGTCTGATTCCCTGACAGGGAATCTGTCTCCTTCTTCATGGGCAGCTCTCACTTGCTCGAATTTTTATATTGCAAGATCTCTTTATACATTTGTGGTTCTTCACCATCTGTCTGCGAAATAATAAGAATGGGTGCCCCGAACTCACTCTCCTCGTCATTTTCATCACTGTCTTGCACTGTGACATCTGGTAGATCATCAAATCTTATTTTTCTACTATGATCACATGTAGTCATATATAGTGTGTCTGTTCTCTTACCCCGAGTCAGCACCAATGCTACTTTGGTAACCTTCCAAGTGCTATCTGAGAACACTACTGAATGACCACTCTCATTGAGTTGTCCAATAGAAATGAGTTTTCTCTTCAACCCAGGAATGTGTCTGACATTTTGCAAAGTCATTTTGCAAAGTCCATTTGTTTGTTTTTGTTAGGGAGTGTAATATCAATGTCTCTCATTCCCACCACGTTCAGAGTTTTTTCATCAGCCAGATATACCTTCTCAAAGTCACCTGCAACATAATTTCGCATCAACTCCTGGTAAGAAGATGTATGGAAAGAAGCCCCTGAATCTATTATTCAGTCATCAATAAAAATGTAAACTATCAGCGATAGCGCATCTTGTATTTCTTCATTTACAACATTAATGATATCATTCTCGTTCCTTTAGGATTCCTGTAGTTCTTTTTTATAGGATCAGTCTTACCACAATTCGAGCAAGTTGTCCGTTGACCAGACTTTAATTTTGAATTTCCTCTGTTTGAGTTCTTATCCTATGATCTCCTTCTGTCAACATTCAATGTCAAACTAGAACTAGATGTCTCGCCAGAATCTTTCCTGCACACCTCCTCAGCCACAATTAAATCATGAATATCATCATATTTCAATTTATATTTACCTGCAGAACTGCTAACTGTCATATTTATGATTTCCCAGCTATTTGGCAATGAAGTCAACAATATCAGCACACGTATCTCATCATCAAAATCAATTCAAATCATCAAAATCAATTTCAACATACGACAATTGATTTATGATAATATTGAAATCATTCAGGTATAGAGTAACAGACACGTTCCGCCGTTTTCAAATTGAATAACTTTTTCATCAAGTGAATCTTGTTATTCGTCGATGGTTTTACATATATTTATGATAAAGTCGCTATGAGATTGTCGGTCAACTTTTTCGTTTCGATTAGATTGATTTAGATTTATTTGAAAAATATGATATATGAAAATAATTTTTGAGATTTAATTTAAATATAAAAGATATATAGTTTGGGTTTTGAAAGTAGTATGTTTTAATTTTTGAAAAATGAGACCAAATGGATCTCATTAGTCTGATAGTTTGCATAATCGTGTCTGATACCGCGAATACTACACCTTCCCGAGAGATAAGTGTAGACCTCAGCGATAGACCCAATACTGCAAACTAAGAGATTTGTGACATCCGTTTGGTCTGCGAACCTTTTATATATGACCGACAAATTCCCCTATTTAATACAAAGATTAAATAGGGTTTATTTTACCTG